CTTTACCCCCCCCCCCCCCCCCCCCCCCCCCCCCCCCCCCTAAATCTAGGGTCATGTCCTCGGTAAGTTGCAGGAGTGTCATGTCATGTCCGGACACCTCTCCCCAGTGCTTCTTTGGCCTACCTCTACCTTTCCTTAGACCCCTCATATCCAACCTTACACACCTTCTCACTGGGATATGGGGGCAACTTCTTTTCACATGCTCAAACCATCTCGCCTCGCTTCTCTCATCTCTAATAACTCAGTTCCTATATGTATCTCTCCTAGTATGCCCGCACATCCATCTCAGCCTCTCAATAATCTCATTTCCACTACTCTAATTTGTTGGATGTAAGAGTTCTTGACCTTCCAACACTCCGCCCTATACAACATACTTGGTCTAACCACCACATTATATAACATACAAACTGCATAGTGTGTTTATGCAAGTTTGGGTGTATTTCTACCTGAGATTGTATGTTTCCTTAGCTTTTACAGACAGTTTATGAAAATAATAGGTGATAGGTGAAATGTCCTCCACCCTAGTTTGTCATAACTCATGACCTCCTCTTCACCCAACTCGTCTCTAAACATGCATATTCTGTGGCATTGATTATGTTCAAATTTCTAATTTCAAACATGGACATACAGCCTGTTACTACGTTAGTTCCAATAATCAGATGGCAAGTTCATGTTTGCATCTTTCAATTCGAGAGCTAGCTTTCATTGGTTGAATTGATTTAGTAGATTGGTGTTATTTCTAGATTGTTTGTGATGATAATAGACATGCAGATTAGTTAGTTAGTTCATTGCTTCAGTACATATCTTAGTTACAACCAACTAATGAATCACTTTGATATAATGTATAGAGGTGGAGACTGGAAGACCGGCGGTAACTGTCATCTTGAGAAGCTACCTAACATAGGATCATCCCAAGAGTCGCTGAAAACATCATTTGAATATAACACTGTGATCAATGTGCTGTCGGAGAAACAGAACAAATCAAAAACATGGAATTTGGATTTATTGAATGTAACAGGGATGACATTTCAGAGAAGAGACGGTCACTCATCTTTGTATTACTTAGGTCCAAAGGTTGGACCAGCTCCTCTCCACCGCCAAGACTGCAGCCACTGGTGCCTCCCCGGTGTCCCTGATACATGGAACGAGCTTCTATATGCCACCTTCCTCAAACGTGAGTTGGCTTGTGCAGAATTTTCCAAACTTACTTCTTAATCGCCGGTGTGGCAGGTAAAGAGATCTTATAACCATGTTGCTCCAACATTTCAAATGTTACACCTCATACCATACTATGGTTGCAGTCTCATGGACTATAAGACGCGTATCTTGGAATGGAAACTCGATTAGGAAAACCTCAAATTTTGTGCCAATGGTGAGTGGAATGTGCCCCTTTTCAAGATTAAATTTGGATTTGTTTGGGGAATTTTTCTCTGCTGAGCTGATGACATACAATTTTTGCAGCTGGGATTATTTGGAATCTCTTCACCAAATTACTGAAATGTATGTGTTGTATAGCTGAAGAGAACATTAACCTAATTTTATACAAAATGGCAAGTTGTCAATATTGTACATTCCCCGTTTTTATACCTCATTCCTTTCTTCTTCTTTTTTTGTTTGGGGAGGTCAAACAAGATTTTATTCATAAGAAAATACGAAGAGGCAATTGTTGCAATTTCTGTCACAAAAAGTGGCATGCATAGGATCGGAGGCCATACTATAGGGTAATACATTGGAATTTAAAATACTTGTTTAGCTAGGTTACTACAGACTAGAATATTTATTTTACTAATAGTATATATATGAATTTATCTCTTGTGGAAGTTCCATCAAAAACTTCACTACAATTATTTTTGTGATCCTTCTGTTGCTAATATATGAGCCATTATTATGCCGCATTTGGAGATTCCCCAGTTTCTTCATTGATAATATTAGCATAAATCACCTTTGTGGTATCAGTTTCTATTTCAGAGATGTTAAGCTTGTAAATCACACAGACTCATGTTACTCTATTCTTTTTAGTTATACAACCAAAAAGATGATCCTTTTTTAAAATTTAAGCTTCGCATTTTTACCAAGCTTTTATGGACACAAATTGTTTTAAAAATATAAATTCAGAATGTCTTTATTTTTTATGGCATTCATCGAGTTTATTGAAAGTATTTTTATTCGAAGAAGAATAAAATATGGAGTAGTAGTACTGGACAAGAATCACATAGTAATAGTTTATTTTCGTTACATGCGTTGTCCAGAGCCGAATGCTTTCAAATTATTTGACAGACATCACACCGAGTGTTAATCTTGTACACAATAATAGCAAAAAGAGATGCAATTATCCATTACAATCATTAATACTTATAGTGTAAGAATTATATTTATTATATATAATTATTACTTACAACTTAAGATGGTCAACAAATTTTATTGAAATCTATATCTATCTATATTCTTTCTTTCTCTTATTTAGAAATGGGACTTGTGGTGTACTAACAATGCAATAAGGAATGGTTCCAAAAGTAATACAAGTTGTACCATATGTGGACTCACTTCATTAAATAAATAATTGTACCTAAGTATTTATTTATTTGTCCTTCTCTTTCAACACGTGTACTTTATATCAAAACAGGTGTACTTGAACTGTTCTTCTTTTTCTTTTTCCCAAATCCTAATGTTGCTTGAGTTTTTTTGCATCTTTTACTTGTACTGTAGCATTTCTTGGATTTCAGGTGTGTTGGATACTCTTAAGAGCATGTGTTTTTCGCCAATAATTCATTTGAACACCTGATATAGTGAAGTCTCCATCTTGATTTTTTTTTTTTTCATATCTACTAATTGTGGGATCAATACACAAAAAAAACGAGGCCGAAAGATTATCGACCTTTGATTTTGCTCGATTTCATCTTGGGAGCCATTATTTTACTTCTGAAGTTCTCTTAGGCTTTATACATTTTGATGTTTCTGGATAAGATTTTTTCATATTGGATTTTGCTCTTCATGTTTTATTAGAAGACTTATACTTGCATTTTGGGTGTGTGTTCAAATGCTTTTATGAGATCTGAATGAACTTTTACACTACCAAGGTGTTTGATGAAATGCCCCCTTAAGGATTCTATTAGGAAATCATCTTTCATTTAACAATTCCAAGGATGCATTATTGACATTCACTAGAAAGAACTATTCAATAATTATAATATGCATTATATATCATTTTTTTGTTAAATAAATATTTGTTAGCTAGATATTTGATGTTCAAGTGGTGATACTCCTACAACAAAATGTATCACCTTTTTATAACTTGCATGAGTAAAAATGTATGTATAATCTAAAACTTTGTTGTGTTTATGTGTTCAGGTTAGGAGGATCGATTGACATGAAAAAGTCTACCTATATGTTTTCACTTATTTCAACTAAGTGAGGTTAGTGTAAGTAGCATTTACCTTCGTAAATAGAGATATTATATTAAGAAGTTGCTATTTATTCATCTGTCGACTCAAGTGATGTGTATTAAGTTCTACTATGCCAATGATAAAATTAATTGTTGTTAGTTTCTCTACTATATATAAATTTTATTAAATAAGTTTATATGCTATTTGTCGAGTAAATGTTAGTAATATTTAAGTAATAATTTGTATGAAGATGCTGAAAGACGTAAATAGGGGTAAGGAATTTTAGTTTTAGTTTAAAACCTTAATATGTAATTGTATGTTTAAAAAACTTTCGATTTTTTTTAGGTAAGCGAGATGCACTCCTACGCATACTACAAAGTAAATAGATTGAATTTTGAAAAAAGCAGAAGACTGAAATAGATTGAATTCTGCATATCTATAGTGAAAATGAACCCTCAAGATATCTTAAAATCTTTTAGAGTGCTAAGACAGAGATTTTTTATTCGGATTGGGTAAAGAGGTTGCAGGTTGATAGAATGGGAGGTGCACCATGTAGAATTTCTCATAAAAAAAATATTTGTCTTTCGATGGAAGACTCACTTTAGTTAATAATAGTGTGTTGGATAAAATTTCAACCTACTTATTGTTTTTGTTAAAGTTGCATGGTTATGTTGAGGAAAATTTGAATACCATAAAAAGTGACCTCATGTGGAAACTGGAAAGGCAAGACACAAATTAAATAAGAGAAAACTACAATTATTAAATGACAAAAAGTAATGATTCACAAGAAGGTTGGAGGTTTGAGAATAAGAAATCTAAGATTGCATAATAAGAGCTTATTATTTATATGACTATGAAAGTTTAATGATGGTAATAAAAAATCTGATGAATGGGAAAGATATTTGGAGCCCTCTTTTTGTTCATAATGCATCAAGAGATGGTACAAATATGGAGTAATATCAGTGAAATATGATATGAGTTTCAAAAGTAGTTGGTAGAACAGTTCATAAATTAAAGTAGGAAGAAAACATAACATTATTTTTAAGATTACCTTTGCCTACAACCATTTTAGCTTTTTTGTATACAGGTAATTAGATTGATCTTTTAAGTTTCAAACTCATGACCAAGTGAAAGAGCTCTAATGTCATGTCAGACCTGGACGTGAATGAGATAAAGAAGTCAAAAACAGATTAGACTTCATCTCTTCTTCTTTTCTTTTTTGCATGGTGCACGATGGAAATAATATTCTCATCTTATTATTGAGAAGATCTATGTTGTTCTTGACTCTTAAAAATGTCAATTGGATGCATATCAAATTCATGAATTTGACACGAGTGCGGCATCGAAAGTGAAGAGTACGCACAACATTCAAATAAATATGCATGCTCCCACTAGAAGTTGTAGCTGACATGTGAAATTCCCATTTATTTCTGCCAACTGTGGAATCAAAATGAGAAGGCGTACAACTGATAATTTGAATATAAATTTTTTGATTTTTTTAATGGAATAAAAACAAACCGCACAAGGTTGGCCTTCTTTCTACATGCATGAACTTAAATGATCTGGTGAGTTCTGCTTTCTCTTTAACAGATGCAGCACTTCCGCTTGAAAGGTGAAATATATTTTAAGGCTTATTAGTTAAAGCTCGCCAATGCTATAGATAATTTTATTTACTTTATCACCGTTCTATATGGAGTATTTAAATAGTCTTTAATTGTTTTTAGCTTGGCAGAGAGGGCAAAGTGCAAAGCACATCCAATAGTTGTTCTAAGACGGTCATTCAAACTACGACTTCTAGCATTGCAAGAAGTAACATGACAACACTAAAGTTGAACGAGTTATTCAATTAATATATAAACATGTTCTCTTCAAATCAACAGAAAAGTGAAAGTGTAATTCATTGTCGAGCTTAATTTATTTTCTCTATAATTAATGTGTACTTTTTATAATACACATACAAATTGTACAAGTAAGGAGGATGTACTAGCTTTCTTGAAAGAAGCAGAAATTGACTAAGCCAAGAAACTTTGTGAAGACAATAGAGAAACTATATGATAAAATCTCTACAAAAGTATAAGAAGCACCGATTACTTTGGTTGTACATTTCAATCTGTCAACATGCATATTACTAACTTCAGCAGCTCTTTATCAACCATAGCTCAACCATTTTTACACTTGCGTCATTCATATAATGCAATTTTAGTTCTATGTTTTACATAGCTGTGTTGTGCCTTTTTTAATTCTTTATTGCTATTCTTCATTACCACGTGCCCATGTAAATCATCCACAAATTCTTTATTGCTATTCTTCATTACCAAGTGCCCATGAAATCATCCACAAATAAAATATTGGGCCCGTGCTGGCACGGGCCATTGCCATTTTATATATTCCCTCCGTTTCACAAAGAATGACCTGGTTTGACTTGACACGGAGTTTAAGTAAATAAAGAAGACTTTTGAATCTTGTGGTCCTAAATTAAAGTTATGTCAAATGTACAAAATTGCCCTTAATCTTGTGGTCTTAAACATGCCACGTGGAAAACAAAAAGTAAAATGTTACCAAAAAAGGAAAGAGGTCATTCTTTTTTAAACTGACTAAAAAGGAAAGGAGGTCATTATTTGTGAAACTGAGGGAGTATATATAAAGGAGGACCATAGATAAGGTGATGTGGCACCTCTCTATGGCCTCCATTCACATTTAGCTTTTTTCTTCTTTTTTTTTGCTTCTTTAAAAGAAATAATTAATTATTATATTATAAAAATAAATTACTTAAATTTATTACAAATAAATATTTTATTGATGGAGGAACATTTATAATAAAAACTCTTCATATTCTTTTTTTATTTATTTGTCTCACTTATAATAAAAGGAGAAACATAATTTATCTTTTTTTGACTTTTTTTAAATTCAAATTAATTATTGCATTGTAAAAATATATTACTTAATTTATACAAATAAATATTTTATTAATGTAGGAACATTTACAACAAAAAACTCTCCAATTTTTTTTTCTATTTTTTATCTCACTTCAAATCATGAATCATGAAATGATAATAATTTTTTTTACATTTTAAGTATTTTTATCTTTATTTTTTAATTTATTCACAAGGAGTTATTACCCATGACTTGCCCCTCTTTAATTTTTACTTTTAATAATATTCATAACTCTCATAATTTTTATGTCCATAACCTCCAAACTTAAATTTGTAAGTTTATGATGTCTTATGGTATTCCTTTATTTTGCCTATAAATTCATATTAATTTCATGAAGATTCACATTCACAATTATCCTTTCTCTTTATCATATTGGTTTGGTTTGCAACAGAAAAGAAGTACATGAAAGTAAAAAAAATTTCATTGCAAATTTTTATTTTTTATTTCCTCTATTTTTGTCTATATAAATTCGTATTTGGTTTGTGAATGAAACTAACATGTAACAAAAAAAAAAGTACATGAAGTTAATAAATATATCATTCTCAAGTCCTTAGTTTTTCATTTCCTCTATTTTGTTTATATAAATTCATACTTATTTATTTTCATGAAGATTCACATACAAAGTCATTCTCAAGTCTTTCTTTTTATTTTTATGTACTTAGACATGCTTTCTTAATATTTTTTAATGTTTGTATTATCATTCATCAAGCAAGTATGATTAGAAAAAATATCTTTGTAATTCTTAACAATGTGTTGTCAGTATAAGGTTATTTT